ATATTCTCGGTCTCGGGTGTGCGCACTGTCCGAGCTCTGGGACCACTTCTGTCATCCACTAACATCCCTTTCTCACGAACTTTCCTCACCAATTTGCGTATAGCTCCTTCGGTGGGTGCTCTATCACGACCCATATTTCTTTTCAAAATTCGTACAATTTCGGCGACACAGCACTGACTTTGAAAATAAGTTTTTAAAATTTCAAAACGCTCTTCAAGAGAAAACATGTTGTTTCGTGCCGCAGACGGTATGACTAATAAACTGTCAAAATTTCGGGTCTGTAGCTCGTTCGGTGTTGCCATACGACGAAATTCAAAAACGTACCAATAGATGGCCCACCCTGTATACACATTTGAAGCACATACACATATATTCAGAAATGGCTATACGAATCGTCGCGTCGGTCGCAAAAACGAAGCCCTTTCAGCCTATTCTACAATGTGCTCTTTTTGTTTCCTATTGCTCTTTACCTTTTGCTTTTTTCTCCTTTGCAATCGTTTTATCGACAATTGTATTTCTTGTTATATATTTCTTGTTTCTTTCGAAGTTCGTTAACTTTTATCTTGGGCGATATAAAACAAAAAACTGGATAAGAAGCAAAAAAGCAAGATGTAAAAAATAGCAAAAAACAAGAAACAGGAAACAAAAAGCATATTGTAGAATAACTTTTAATCTGCACTCTAATTAATTTGTAATTTGCGATTCATCATTTAAACCATTGCTATCAGCGGATGTAATAAAAATATTTAAAATTTAATCATAACAATAAACATATATATATATCTGAAATAATATTTGGAGTACAGGGAAATTGCTAGTAAGACACGCGCGACCGATTGCGAAGCGGAAAAGTCGAGGGGTTATCTCGCAGACACGAGATATGTATCGCGCGCGCTAACGGCTCACTAATAAACTGTACAATTTTTAATACTTAAAGGCGCGATTATTAACGGCAATTATTTGATTAACCCGACCTATCTCCAAAAAACAAAGTTTCGCATAAAAAAATTTTATTTTATATTTTCGTAGTTCTACTCATTTTTTCATGTATTCAATCGTTCTCTTCCCTGTTATACCACTGATTTGTACATGTTTATAAACATTCTGTAAATCAAATTTAATTGAAATCTTATTAAACAAAAGTTTACATTAAGATCTCGTGGAAAAATGCATGCGTGCATAGTTGTTTTTAAAAAGTATTTTGAAAACTTACATTTCGTGTCTCCAATTGTAGCGTTGGGAAGAAGATAAGTTTACATTATTATATATCGCTCGAATACACGTAATACCAGAAGAAGTTAACTTGACGCGATAATAACAGATACGTAACAGCAGATTAAATAAAAGTGCTTACCTTGTGAGAGCATAGTGATTACTTTTAGACAGACATACTCCTCCATTCGTAGCCTCACTCGCCTAAACATTAACGTGACATATGTGATTTTTTCCACCATGAGCCCTACATCTTGCCGCAATTGGTCCATGGTTATCGGCCGACCCATCATGCTGGTTAGGCATCTTTGCAACGTATACATATTGTTCGTTACCTGGTTGTGAAATTTTTATTAGAATGGGTCCGTAAACACATTTATCGTATTTATAAACTATCCCTGATAAAAAAAAGTTAATAGAGAACGTTTAAAAACGATAACTTCGACCTTGCAAGCATCAGATTGGATATAAATCTTATCGTATTGTATTTTATCAAGTTCTGTAAGATTTCTATAAGATTTGATTCAAATTAGTGAAATCACAAATCAGATTTCGTATTAAAAAGGATTTTTTTATTGTTCTCTATCAACTTTTTTTATCAAGAATTCTTCAGATAAAAACATTGTCAGAAATATATATATTGCGCCCATATTTAAAAATGATTACCTCATGGGTCGGGAAATCATGAATAGCAAGAGTTTTGTTTTGTTATTTAAAAATTTATTTTATGTTCAAATCTATTATAAAAAATGACGATAGATGTAAATAAACAAATAGTTGATGTATAATTATAAGCAATTAAAAAACTTATTTCTTACTTGGCTTTTATTTTATTTCATTCTGCTTAGATATTATTACCCCCTATATTCTTAATATTATCAAATGTTATTTTTAACATTTTCGTTTCGCAACTTTTTTCGAATCTTGATAATTTTGAATGTTGCTATAACACTTTTTTCAATTGTGATGTTCTGACGATTTTTATGAAATAAAGTTAATTCTATTTATGATTCATACAGTAATGTATTATTCGAACTCATTCATGATAATAATTCGAAAATCATGTTTTTTTGAGTTACGTCACTTTTGAAGTAAGGAAGCGTACATAAAGCTAACATTAATAAAAATTAATAATGCTATTAATGATAGTATTAACAATTACATCATTTAAGTGAATTGATACTAATTAATTTATCATCAAAATTGTGTTTTGTACAAATTGCATCTAAAAAAATGTTCGTATAAAAATAATAAAAATGAAAGATTCTTTTATAGAATCTAGATTTTTTTAAATTTCGTTTGAAAATTGATACATAAAAAACAATAGTTGTAACTTCTAGAAGATATGTGCTGAGTATTATAAGGAAAGTATGCTAAGGAAAAATTGTTTATAGTGTATATATATATTTATAAAATGTATACGCTTAAAATAAATTATTGTAAAATATAATTACTTCTTGCATAAAGTCTGCACCCGTCCCGTCAGTAGAGACATTTGTCAACCTATGATGACCGTGCATTGCTTGGTAGGCAGATGTGGTCAGCACAAGAAGTTCATGCCACTTGTGGGTGAGCAACCTCGTGTGAACTTCGACCGGCAGCTCAAGGTAAAACGGTAACCTTTTGGTCCACTGCACCAACTTGTACACTATGCTGTCTCCTATCTGACACAGCTTGTCACTTAAATCTGAATTATGGTCCAGCAGCTCGTCCAAGTTCTGTAACGCAAATAGTGGCCATGTACAAATCTTGGAGCGTAGTTATTTGTTTGAGGATTTACTAATTTGGAATTGGAGCGATTAGAATAAATCTAATTAAGTAAAAGAAATCCTATTTTCGATCAAAGCGAATAATTGTTTAATCACATTTCCTTGAAATACGATGTTCTTTCATTAGTTATTAATTATTGCAATAAATATGTAGAAACTTCGATGATCGAATAGAGAAAACGGCCGCAAAGAATTCCAAGTTCAAATCTTAGTTAAGGTAATATTTTTCGCAATAAATTATTCGCAATTTTAAAATTCTTATTAACATCAAATTACACAAGTCTGCATGTTCCTGCATTCTAGAAAGTAAAAGTCGTTTCTTATGTAATTTTGTGCGTTGAAGTCGAATACGGCCGCAGAATTAATCTATCACATCAGATTACCGAGATAATTTGGTTTAAATAGAAAAGAGCTATTTTGGTCATGTTCATCGATTTATTACTAATAACGAAATTTTTTTCTACCAATTTTGCATATGGCATCTTAAAATACTAATTTTATCTTTAAAATCAATTGTGATTTGTATCTGCACAATTTTTTCTCGCAGTGATATCAAAATTTGAACTTGGAAAATCTATAGCGTATTGTAGTATAGCACTTTAGGTTAATACATCATCCTTTCTACTTGTGAGGAAATCTCAAATTTTATGAACATAAAATTTATTAAAATTTACGATCCGATGATGACTTCGATACGACTTTGGATCAAGGTCACAAAGTGAAACTTTATAGAAAAACTGCAAAAGATAAAAATCATTAATTTTCTTCTCATAAAGTTCTGAGAATTTTTTCAGAATTTTTTAATACCGTATTTTCTCATGTTAGTAAAAATAAAAAAATGCAGTACTAAAAAGTTGATAAAAAATTCTGAAAAAATTCTTAGAATTCTATAAGACCTTTCGACTTAATTTAGCGGGTTCTATCTACACAAAAGTAATTGGCAAAAACTTTCGGGATACCCTGTATATAATGTAGCATCAATGTTATTACAATAAATTGCTTGTCAATTTAATATCCTAGTAAATGAGAATGGATTGAAATGAATTGAATCCGAGCTGACACTAGTTTAATATTCGAAAAAAAAAAAACATTCATATTTTTAAAGATTAAAAATATAAAATAACAGTGTATTTAAGAGCCAACTGTGACTTGTTGCGTAAAATAAATTATATTTTCTCTTAAGTGTTCATATAATCATAAAGTTGTTTAAACCTCATAATTTATAAATTAGAAATTTTTACATGTTTAGGCTACGTGATTGAGCGCTTTCTACAGAAAAAGCTGATAAATTGAAATACATAATGAGACTCCATCCTCTCAAAAGAAAAACGTTTTTTGGTTAAGTTGTTTCCAGAGTAATCAAATATATATAATAGTATATATATATATATACAGGGTTGGCCATATTCGACGGAAATAGTGTTGTTTGCTTTGGCTTTGTTGAAGCTGCTCGGAATCGCTCCGAACAGATCCAGCATACATGAAATACGTACAACATTCGTCATAAGACGTTCGATATTTATCGTACATAGTATGAATCCTACATTTCAAGTACGTTGGGTTCGTTCGGAGTAATTCCGAGCAGCTCCCGAGAGATAAAACGAACAATGCTAATGGCAGGTGCCCCAAAGATGGGTTGAAGAAAGACACACTTTGGAGGAAACTTGAGGACGAAATATTGTATAATCAGTCAGACATAACAGATGCATTAATTAGTTAAAAAACAAGTAAATCAGTTAGTGTAATAATAAAAAAACTATATACAATAATAAAGGTAAATGATCAGCATAACGTCCCCACTGTATATTTTTGTGTATTTTCATGTGTAAAATATTTAAAAAAAGGAAAATTGTCGGACAAATCTCGTTTTTTTTTATTTAATTTCAAAGTTTTTTGATGTTAGTTAGAAAATGATAATGTATTTGTAAAGATACGCAAATTTATAAAATTACAGGAAAATTGAAGGTGAGGGGGGGGGCGCTGTACTGAACATTTACCATAATAAATTATTGCATCTATAGTCAAAGAATAAAATTAAATATAAATAAATTAATTTAAATATAACATAATAAATGAAATTAAATATAAGTGTAAACCGACAACGGATAAACACTTATATTATACAGGATGTATAATATGAGTGTTTATCGTATTATTATAAATACATGTCAATACACTTTAGAAGGTAAATTTATACACTAAAAAACTAAGATATGTAGGGCATATGTTCATATGAAATTTTCAACGAGATTTTCAAGTTATGGATGATTAAGGAAAATGTTCGAAATGTTCGCCTTATGAGTCAACACGCTATTATATAGCTTAGCATATCTCGACGTTATTTAATGTTTACAAACAATATCCATTTAATACAAATCAGACAGAATTTCAAACAGTCGGTATTTTAAGCTCGCGAGTTATTGTTCTAAATATTGTTCTAAAAGCGGCAAAAAATGGTAATATTTATGCTGAAATAGCCGACATACATTTGTAATGTATCGATCACCATGATCTCCTGATTTCAATCCATTAGATTTTTATTTTTGGGATCATTTAAAATCTATTGTGTATTCAACGCTGGTAAACAATGTGGATGATCTGCGAGAAAAGATACGAAATGGATTTGAAATTATTTGAAGAATACCTATTTTTGAACGAGTGCGGAATTCAATGCTAGAGTATGCAGTAGCGTGTGTTGACACAAGGTGGACATTTTCAAACATTTTTTTGGGATCTCTTTCACCAACTTCAGTCAAGCTAACTGACAGCATACTCATATTAATGTAACTGACAGTTACATTAATATGAGTATGCTGAACAAGTCTCATATAACCGTCGGTTAGCTTAACCGAGATTGGTAAAAAAGATCTCTAATCACCTATAACTTGAAAACTAAGATATAAGACATATGTTCATATGACGTTTTTTTTTATTTATTTCAGTATGTAGATTTACCTCCTAAAGTATTGAAATGCATTTATGAAACACCTTATATTTAATTTAATTCATTTATATTTAATTTTATTCTCTGACTGTAGATGCAATAATTTATTACATAGTTTTTTATTATTACACTGATTGATTTACTTATTTTTTTAACTCAGTAATGCGTCTGTTATGTCTAATTGACTATATTTAATCCACGCTCGTATACCCAGATTTCTCCACACAGCCTTCCAACCGTCATACAAGTATAGTAGCTCTTATTACTCTGGAAACAACTTAATTTCCAATTCATTTTAATGTCATTTTGACGTTATCGTGACTTAATGTTCTACTTGAGATAAACCGACGTGCAAACACTTTAGTTAAAAAGAACAGACCTATTATTATGCATTTCAATTTTTTGGCTTTTTCTGAAGAGAGCGCTCGATCACGTAGTCGAAACATGTCAAGATTTCTAATTTATAAGTTATGTTATGAGATTTGAACAATTTTGTATGAGTACTTGAGAGAAAATATAATTTGTCACGCAATAAGTTTTGTGGTTTACTCCTAAATACCCTGTTATTTTATATTTTTAATTTTTATTATTTAGAGCCCTCACCCAGAGAAAGGTTTTTTTCAATTCAAAGAAATATTTCTTTGTTATACGATTAAAGAAAAAATTTCTTTGATTTGAACATAATTTTTTTAAATCAAACAAATTTTTTTATTTAATTTCAAAAAATAATTCAACATAAAAAATAAAAGAAAGAAATTTAATTTCAAAAAATAATGTTTAAATAAAAAAATGACATTCAAATTAAAGAAAATTTTCTTTAACCACATAGCAAAGAAACATTTATTTGAATCGAAGAAACATTTCTCTGGATTATTATTTTTATTGTATTATATTGTTTCATATTTAAGTGTTACAAATTTTATTTCTAAGACATTTAGATTAATAAATAATTTATTAAGACATAATGTGAATACACAATAAGTAAGAATATTTAAGTCTATAACTTTAAGTCGAAGCTAGATTGCTTTAAATAATTCAATGTAAATTATATATAGGGTGATTTTAACATATTTCGTCACCCATCATGAGCAGATGAAATGAATTGAACCGAGTCGAAAAGTCTTCTACCATTTTGCAATTTTCGCAATAGTTAACAAGATATTAATTACTAAAAATTGCCGAATATTGGTCTTGAATAATTTTTTACTTAAATACTATCAACTTTACAGAAAAACTGCAAGAAACAAAAATTATCATTTATTTTCTTCTCATAAAGTTTTGAGAATTTTTTCAGAATTTTTCAAAATTTTTTAATACTGTATTTTCTCATGTTGGTAAAAATAAGAAAATGCAGTACCAAAAAGTTAATAAAACATTCTGAAAAAATTCTCAGAACTTTATAAGAAGAAAATAAATGATTTTTGTCTCTTGCAGCTTTTCTATTTAAAATTGATCACAAAAATGAAGGCAATTCATACAATGACAGATTTTCCAGCAAGAGTTGAGCCAATGTCGATCGATTAATTCGTCAACTTAATCCTCATGTATTTGATCTAATAATGATTGCCGTGTATCACAAAATTTCCAAGTTCTATTAAGAAATATTATGAATAAGATTAAATTAAATAAATTTAACAATAGCAAACATACCTATGATACGGTAAAAAAGTACGAGATGTAATGACGAGGAGAGAGAATATTTTTGTTTCAAATAATTTAATTAACGTCTGTCCGTGTCATTTGTGTTATAAAATAGTACTAATAGTAGTAATAGTAGCTATATATAATTCTACAAGCTTAGAAAACGATATTTTTGCTAATGATATTTGTCTCCGATTTCATACTGTTTGATTATCGTTGCGTAGATGACATTGTACTCGCAGTATCACAAGATAAAATTGATTCGATACTTTGTAAATTTAATGCTTATCACGAAAAAATTAAGTTCACTGTAGAATATGATGATAAAAATGGTATTAACTTCTTAGATGTGAGATTAATGATA